TCTCTCTCTCTCTCTCTCTCTCTCTCTCTCTCCCTGCATGGACAACTGCCTCCGTCCCGCCGTCCCATCTGGTGCCCATAGCCCTGGTCCGACGAACAGATGAAGGGATGATAACGAAACATTCACCTACGAAAGGCCTGTGCATATCTCTCTCTTGCGCGCGCCGTCGCCTGTCGCTTTACCTCGCTTGCTGACTGGCTGCGCGCGCGTGTGCAAGTGGATGGTTATTCATCTTCCCCACGTGCGTTATCTCCTTCATCCACAACGACGGAGGGAGGGGAGGGAGGCAAAATAACAACGTAACCGAGATAATGAATGAATGCTGGACTCCCAGACAAACCCCCACAGGTTCAATAGGTCTCGCCTTTCTTCCCCCATTGAGCCCCAATGCTACTGCCCCCAGCTGCTCATGCTACAGAACTTGAATACGCCCCACCAATATAGACAGACGAAACCGCATGCTCGCACGTGCTTGGCTTGCTTTACCAAGATCTTGCGGCGGACAGCGACCAGAGACCTCCATCTTCTCCACATTCAAGAACGGCTTGCTTGTTTCTCTTCCACATGGCTAGCAGTGGTGCTTTTGACGATCACCGCTCTTTGCAGCCCATGTCCGCTTCCTTGCAAGGCATTTACAAACACTACGCTACGCTGCCCACGACACCGCATCGCTGGCCCGCGTACTTGTGAGCCCAAGCAGCTGGCCCATCATCGAAAAATCCCAACACATGCTAAATCTCCCCAGCGTCCTCCTTCCCTGTACACGGGTTCCATTCGTAAGAATCACAATGTGTCTCTTGCCCAGCTGTTCTCTCATCCTCCTGGCCCCAATATACAGTACTTCTCGCTCCCGGATAGTCATTCGTCCGAACGATGTACCACAACCACAGCACATCTTCAACCTCTGGCCAATCAAACTCGCCCATCATGCTATACTGTCCCTTGTTGCGCATAACCACAACCCGTTTTCTCTCTCTCTCTCTCTCTCTCTCTCTCTCTCTCTCTCTCTCTCTCTCTCTCTCTCTCTCTCTTGTTCGTCTGTGTGTGTGGGCGCTTGTGGGTCGCCTGCGCTTGTCGGTCCCTCACTAGCTCTGGACCTCTTGCGCTACAAGTTCCTCCAACCCACTGAAACATGGAGTATAGCCCCAGAAGAGCCGATCGAGATCGAGATCGAGATCCCGAGTCGCAACCACTTCACATTCCCCAAGCCTCACCCGGACCTGCTGCGCCCGTCTCGCAGCCAAATCAAGGACGGAGCACAATGCCGACGCCTCCGTCACTAGAATTCTAGGACCAGCTGAAATCCGAGCACAATGCCGACGCCTCCGTCACTAGAATTCTAGGACGGCATACCTAATCCCTACCTCCATCAAGGACACATGGTGCCCATGAGCAACGGTCAAGCGTTACCCCCACCGCACTCTCTCTCTCTCTCTCTCTCTCTCTCTCTCTCTCTCTCTCTCTCTCTCTCTCTCTCTCTCTCTCCCTCTCTCTCTCTCTCGCTCGCTCGCTCGCTCCCTCGCTGGCTCCCTGCAAAGGCATTGATACCGCTTCCGCCATTCGCCTCCTTGTCGACAGCCGTCCTCTGCCAGCCCATGCGCGAGAGAGAGAGAAAGAGAGAGGGAGAGAGAAAACAGGCAGCAGCAGTATATACGCTCAATAGTAAACAGTACAGAGATCCACGGCCCAACGTAGAAGCATTGAGGAGCCAGAGAGGGGAGAGAAGGCAAAAGCCGACAAGCTATCATCGTCAGTCACCTGCCGTACGCGTTTACGTGTGTGAGATGTGTTTGCACAGAATCATGTCCGTCGTGTACATATGGATGATGGACATACGCGCGCGCGAATGTGCATGCGATGCGATGTGTGTCCGATTGTAGAAGAAGAGCACCGTCTAGCCCATCCTACGTATTCGATTTGGCAAACTCTCCCGGCAAGGCGGCAGGGTCAAGCTCAAGCATTCCCGCCGTTACTCCCGGCATCTCTCCCCCTTTGAATCTGTACACAGGAATCTGATGGGAAAACCTCTTCTCGTCCCATGGCATTATTTCGAATCGGGTCTCTGTCCCCACACCGCCTTGGTTTCCACCGACGCCTCCCACCCCCCCCCTCCTGAAAATGCACTTAAACTCGCTAACCTTCTCAAGCGCCTCTACCCTGATACCCTTCTCGTCGCTCCAGTCTCCTACGATCTCCACCACCTGATACGCCCTAACTCCCTTTCCTGATCCTGATCCTACAACAGCGTCTCTCCCCGGCACGTGTAAAGCCCATACTTGCCCCACGCGCGGATAGATCCTTATAGCATTTGCTTTCCTCTTCTCCCACTCTACTTTGTGAGAAAATGTCATGGTCGACTTCTGCGTCGATGGCTTTTGAAACCGGTAGAAGCCGCACCCCGATGGGCCATGCCCACCACCGTACCCGCCTTTGGTCGTCCCTCCGCCTCTCTTCTGCAGCGTTTTCCCGTTCCTACCCTTATTTGCATCCACACCCACATCGATCTCTTCCAGCCACGTCATTGCCGCCTTGAAAGGGTTCATGGAGATCGCTCTGATCTTCGCGTAGTACCGTGGCATGCCTTCTACATCGTCATACAGCGCCCAGATCTGACCGGACGCCATGTCCTTCTCTGTCCTGTAATGATCGAAATCGTAGTAATCCCCATCAGGAACGTCCATATACTGAAGATTTCCATCCAGCTCTTTGACCGGGGAGTCAGAATCCTCCACCTCTACAACCCCGTCCCCTCTGTCCATTGCTACATCTTCCTTCTGTTCTTCTTCCTCCTCCTCCTCCTCTTCCTCCTCTTCCTCCTCCTGCGGCTCCTGTTTAACATGCACAGGGTGCGGTGCTTTGTTAGCAACCGCACCACCCACCACCTTCGCCGCTCCTCGCCCTCCCCCGTCACCTACCTCTCCGCCGCTCGCGGTTGCTGCTGCTGAACGCTGTTCGGTTCTTTGACCCGACAGGCCTCCCCCCCCTGCTCCTGCTGCTGCTGGGAGCTTTTCGCTTCTCTGCCCCGCCCCAATCCTGCTATCTTCCACCGCTCTCACGTCAACAATGTCGTCGCCACGGTCTCCTCCTCTGGCTACAGCAGAGCCGTCCGTGCGGTTCTTACTAGTATTCGCAGTACCGCACCTCCTCCTGCTGCCTGTGGTACAGTTGCTGCTGTTATTGTTGCTATGATTGGGCGCCGCGGCAACCGTAACACCACTGCTTCCGCCGGTGAGCGGATTGGTTGTGGCGCTTCCGCCCCGGGCAGCGCCATCGGTGGGAGCATCTACGACAGCGGTGGGCTCAGCATACACAGCATCGACCGTCTGAGGACGGGCGTCCGCAGCGGCCGCGGAGCGGCCTGCTGCTCCCCCTTTCCGCTTATCCGAACTCGGAGCTTCCGCAGCTCCTGTTCCCCCGTCACTTCCCCCTTGTGCCCCCTTCTTCTTCTCGTAAAACACGAAATCGTCGTCATCTGGACTGTCCTCCCTGTAGCTTACGTCCCGCCTCTGGCGGACCGATCGTCGAAGTCTTTTAGGAGTCGCAGTGGCCGCAGAGCTCGACGGGGCCCCAGTGGCTCCAGGGTTGTTCGCCTTAGCTGACCCTAGACTTCCCCCGTCTGACAGATTCTCTTCATCCTCCGAATCATCGAAGTCCTCCTCCTCCTCATCCTCCTCCTCATCCTCTCCCTTCCTCTTGCGAGAGCGTTTGGCAGGCTTTCCGTCACTCGTCCTCTTCCGGTCCTCCGGCTTGACTTTCTTCTCCATAGCCTCTTTCCTCTTTCTATCTTCCCTATTAGCGCGCCTCGCTGCTTGCTCCTGTCGTCTTTTCTCTGCTTCGTCAGCTTTTCGCTGCCGCTTTACTTCGTTCCACACTGTGTGCACAAACCCTTCGGTCCCCGACGCCGCGGCTGCCCCAGCTACTGTGGAGGGTGGCACCCCGGCCGCAGCAGCCGCAGCAACTGCCGCGGCCGCCGCCGCATCCATATCAGCACGTACCTGCTGCGCTGCTGCCATAGCCGCGACTGTCTGCGCCCGTGCCTGCTTCACAGCGGCGGCACGCGCAGCCGCTTGAGCGGCCTGCGCACGCAAAGCTTGTGCCTGCGCTTGGGCTTGCACGTACGCCCTCTCCGCAGCTTGCGCCTGCCCCTGGGCAAACACCGCCGCGGCGAAATGGTGGCCATTGGGCGGAGGTGCCTGCTGCGGGGTAGGTGCTGCTTGGGGCTGCGTCGAAGCCTGCTGCCAGTGAGGCGGAACTGCGCTTGCTCCCCCGGCGCCTAGCGGCACTCCCCCGTTTATGCCTGCGCGACCAACTCCCATGTTCGCCGCACGTGCGGCAGCTGAAGCTGCCGCCGCCGACGCCGCGAACTGCGCTGAATACCCTGCTGCGCCCATTCCGCTCACCCCGGGGAACCTTACTCCTCCCGCTGCTGCCGACCCCACGCGCGCAGCCGCGGCCGCTGCCGAGCACATGTCCGCCGCCGATCCCAATGGCCCTTCCGCGGGAAACACGTGACTACAATAGTAGCATTTCGCGTTCTTCCCATAGTGCTCAATGTCAAACTCGTACGCCGATTTGCAATTCGTGCAGCTAGACAGGAATTTCCCCCTCGACCCCACGTTAACCTTGGAAGCCTGCTGCTGCTGCTGCTGCTGCTGCTGCTGCTGCTGCTGTTGCTGCTGCTGATGTGCGGCGAAGGTCTGTGCCGTTTGCTGCATAAACGGCGGATGCTGCGGCCAACCCGCGCGAGATCCGAAGCCACTTGATCCCGCTGCTCCCCCGGCTGCCCCCGCCCCCGAAGCAGCCCCCCCTTGGCTATGCTGATTTCGCTGCTGCTGCTGCTGATGATGATGATACTGAGAGGCCTGCGCGGACGAGGAGGCATTCGTCTTGCCTATCTGTACTGCTGGAGCCGCCGCTCTCCTTGCATTATACTGTGCCCTCTTCGCTCGATCCGTCAAAATGGTCTGCGCCTCCCCGATCAGCTTAAAGGCTGCCTCCGCCCCAGCACTCCGATTCTTGTCCGGATGTAACAGCAGGGCAAGCTTTCTGTACTGTTTCTTGATTGTGATTTCATCGGCCGTGATCTGCACCTGCAGAATGCCATACCAATCCATCTCCGTCCCATTGATTTTGGCGTTCGCAGAGGCATGCACCTCCATCACTGCCACAATCTGGCCAATGTCCTGAAGGCTGGGATAAAGCTGCATAGCCTTCATGGCCAGCCGCTTGGCACCCTGGTAATCATGGGCCAAGAACTTCTGCAACGCAAGGTCTTTCGCCCTCTCCGCCTGCTCCTTGTTGCACTCCATCTTCTCCTGAGACCAGATCCACTCGGAGACACTACTTTGTTCTCTCTCCCAACCTCTTCTCCCCAACCCCTCCTGGACGGCCCTCGCATGTGGGCATCCGTCCACACCACTGCATCTCTCCCTTCTCTCCTTACCCCGCCCACTCACGCCCCTTTCCTCTCTCTCTCCTCCTTCCCTCCCTACACCCCACTCCCTCTCTCCCTTACGCCAATCTCGCCTTTCGCCTCCCCTTCTGTGCACCACACACACACACACACTGCCTACACCTCTCTTTTCCCCTTCTCCCTTCCTTCTCTCCCCGCTGGCACTCGGGTCTCCCTCTCTCCTCTCTCCCCCCCCCTTTCTCTCCTTCCCTCCCTGCCCCCTCCCTCTCTCCCTCACACAAATCTCGCCATTTGCTCCTCTCCTCTCCAAGACAAACACACACACTCCACCTCTCCCCTCCAAGACACGCACACACCCTCCACCTCTCCCTTCCCCTTTTGTCCTCCTCCTTTCCCCCGGGAGTAAAACCCGCCCGCCCGCCCGCACGAGGAGACGTCAAAAAACTTCCCTTCGCCTTCTTGTTCGCGGGCGAACGTGACAAGGATCACTATCAAGGGGACATCGGAAAGCAAAAGACCGACAGTATTCAAAGACGTGGCAGCTCATCTCACTCCGTCCCCCACACGTGGCAGAAAGCTACTACAGACATGCAGTGCCAACATGTTATCATTCGCCCAAACGTTAAACCCTTCTCAACACCCCAAAAAAAGCGATCTGACATACTGCCCATCACCGCTCCGACGGCGAATGCGCTCCCACCCGCCACTTGATCTTCCAGCATCGAAGAAGTCGAATGGGACCCCCGAAGGACCGACCCAGTAAGAAGAGACACAATAATGATACTAAGTCCCAAACAGGGCCGCCTGGAGAGCGGGAAGCCTGGAGAGCGGGAAGAGAATCCGCAAAGGTGAATAACACAGGTAGAATCGCAGGTTTCGCCTCCAATCTCGATCAGACAGATTTCGCAAAAAGAATAGAGGCACCTTTTTTTCAATTCCGTAAATATAAGATAGCCTCAGATCAGGGCCATCTCTTCTCCCCTCCTTGACCAGCGCAGCATCCGCCACTACGGTCTCGCTCTCACAGCCATGCCTCCTACTCCCAGAGACAAGAAAAGAAGACGCGAGGAGGACAGATAAGAGAGAGAACGGCCCGCTTCAGGCATGTGCCCTATTCGACCTCGTCTACTAAAGTACAGAGGGAGGAAATGGAATGGAGGGTAGGGGAGGGGAGAAAAGGTGAAGTGGGAGGAGCGGGAAGACAACGTAAAGGGGACTGAGAAGAGAGCAAGTGCACCGTTTGATGACCGTGTCAATCACATGCGATTATTGAAGAGAAGGACGCACAGCCTGGCTGGCCGTCTTTGACTCCACGTGTCCATTCAGAATCCAAAACTGCTCAATGGCAACAGCACAAATTTAGGGTTTTCGGGGTTCTAAATGCCCCATGTTGTGTTGGCCCTAACGATGGTGCCACCGTTCTCTCCCCTGACAATTTCTTTCCTTACCTTCGACAGCAGCGGCCCTCCTGTCCCCCGCCCACTCCGATCCCAACGACGAATCTGCAAGATTTGCTTAATTAATTAACATGGCATGTTAAATGCGCCTCAAAGAAACACCACTACCGATGGCCCGACTTCCTCCATAGCCACCCACCACCCCTCCCCGAGCTAAACGGTGATTGGGCGGAAACCCATCTTGTCTTCGACCGTTGGGCGCAGAGGAGCACTGTAGAGGAGTGCGGGGAGCACCGACGATGGCCGTGCCACAGCCTCGACATGCACCGAGGGAGAGAATCGAGCCGTCCTTTTGCTGGACATCACCAACCGTGGCCCGCGTGGTTCATTGCAGCCCCAAGCCCAAGTTCAGGTCTGGGCCATGCACCCTGTGCTGGTATCAGCGTTCTCACCGAATGGGCTTTCCCGCTCACCCTTACCGTAAGAATCGCGCTACATTTTTCCGAGTGTCGCGCTCTGCGGGCGTCGTCCCAACGGCACCGACTATGGCCGTCCCTCCCCACTAGACAGCTTCTTTCCAGAAATGCCCAGTGGCGGGACAAGTACCTCCAACTACCAGCCGCAGTTTCAGCTAAGGACTCGCGACGCAAAAAACATTTCGGACAGATTACTTGAAATACTTCGAACCCCCTATCAGCCGATCAGCAACAACCCTTGGCAGAGGTGGCAGACGAGATACATACCACAGTACTTCGGCCAGCAAAAACGTCTCCATTCCGTTCCCGTCGTGTCATCCAATCGACGGCCAAGATGAAATGGTGCATCGGTGGGACGTGGATGCAACCGCCTATCGTACCGTCTTGTGGGTGACTCCAGCAACCCGTACTGGCGAACTTCGGTAGAGAGGTCAAACGCTCGATACCGTCGCAGTCAGACTGTGGATTGCATTGTCAAAATGTCCAAAGCGCGAAGGGCCCAGCGATGCTCTCCCTATGCTACCGGTACCAGTTGGACGAAAGTTGGATGTAAGAGTCAATAGGGGCAGCAAAAAGCTTCACTCGCCTTTAGGAGGGGGCCAGCTCTTTCCATCATTGGGCCCCCGTACCACTTGGATGAACGTTGGATGAAAGTCCCAACGTCGATGGGGCAGCAAAAAGCTTGATTGTCTACCGCGTGGGCGCGGGTAACGCAGCCCTAAGGTAGCCAAATCAATGAGACTAACAGCTAAGACCAGAGAGAGAGAGAGAGAGAGAGAGAGAGAGAGTTTTGTTCCATTTATTGTTATGAGGTGAGAGAGAAAAAGAAA